AAATATTTTTAGAACAACGCTTCTCTAGGACGATTTTTGAAAAATAGTTTCGATTTTTGAAAAGGAAATTTGAAAAACTTTCGAAAAACAAAAAAAAATTGTCGTCGATGAACAGCGATGGTGAGGCGGTGCAACCGCTGGCTTCTGGAAAACTAAATCATTGTTCTTCATTTGGAAGAACACTTGAGAGCATATCCAAATGGGGGGGTTTGTATTTTGAGAAAAGAAAAATGAATAAAAGTTAAAAAATTATAACTTAAATATTAAGTACATAGGATCGACCGACCCGACCCAGAACCAAGTTGACCTGCGTGTTTTTTAAGAAAATAGGGTAAACTACCCTTTTGGTCCCTCTTCTCTTTTAAAGAGTTATTTTAACCCTTGAATTGAATTTACACCTTAATATTTCTTTGAAATTGGACCTCTAGTTTATGGCTCTTTCAATTTAACCCTTACGCAGTTTGTTTCATTTACTTATTTTTTTAATTCTCATTTTTACATTTTATTTTACTATATATACATTTTTTAAATATATACATTATTATTTATTTTTATTATTCGTTTTCCTCTCTGTTTTTTTCTTTCATTTATTTATTATTACTACTTTCTTTTAATATTTCATTCTATTATATATACATTATACTTATTACTTTATTATCTTTATGTATATTTATTTATGTATATTACCCCTTTTTTGTATATCATCATTTCGTATATATATTATTATTTACTATTATTTTCCTAATCGTTATTTATTTATTTCGTTTTTCTCGTCTTTTTTTTCTTTCTTTTTTTCTATTTAGTTTATTTATTTATTTTCTTTATTTTATTATTATTGCATTTTCTTCATTGTCATTTTATTCGTTTTATTCACTGTTTATCTTTATTTTATTGTTTCTTTACCCTTTTTTACCTTTCTTGATTCCATTTGTTTTTTATTACATTTTTGCATCTAACCCATTTTTCGACTATTTAAGGGCACGTTTTCAATTAATCAAATATAAGTAGTTCGGATCAGATTTTACCTTTTAATTTAAACTTTCAGTCCTCTTAATTTAAGACAACTGGAAATTACATAGTACCGAAAGGGCAGTTCAAGGGTGCTAACCCTTCCTTGACTGTAACCGACTCCCGAATCCAACATATCACTGGTAAGACTCAGATCAGGTAAGAAATAAGGTATCTGATCTACCTATTTATTTTAAATAAATGATCGGTGGCGACTCCTAATATATTTTCCTAAGTCGAAGCCCAATTTCGAGTCCACCCGAAAGACGGTTCCGACACTTTGCTCCTTTGTTCGACATGTATGGTCTATGATTTTAGATGATTGTGGACTATATATGCATGGATCCTCTTGGATTGAAGTGTTGGAATGGGTTCAAGGGTATTGTGGGGGAAAGGGGTTGTTGAATTTAATTTTGTCTTGCTTGGAATTCCATGGTTTATTTTGTTTGGCACGAAAGAAATAATACGAATCATGGATGACATCCTGAATGCGCTCAACGTATTTTTGAGATGATAAAGAGTTGTGTTAGGGATAGGTTGGTTGAGTGCAAGGAGTGTGCTTGACTTGACTGTTTTGGTTTAGAACTGGGGGCTTAGTTAATTTGTTTGTTTTGTTTGTAAAGTTTTTATTATTATTATTATTATTGTATTGGTTCTTTTGAATGATATGAAAGCATTTTGATTATCGAGAAAAATTATAATTTTAATATCTCAAATCAAAATATTCAACTTTTTAATTATAAAAACCTAAAATATCTTTTCTACAAAAAATTATTAAAATAATTTTTTTTATATAATACCGAGAATTATTTTAGATTCAACCTTGTTTTATTTAACTTTTCAACTTTTCAATTATTGTTGCTGTTCAATATCTCAATATTTTAATAAAAAAATATCTTTACTACAATTTGTGTTGTTCAAATCAATATATTTTTGAATATTTTTATAAAATAATATTTTGATATTTATAAAATTTCTCAAATCAAAATATTCAACTTTTCAATTATAATAATCAAAATATCTTTTCTACAATAAATATTCAAATTTTTGCTGTTCAGATATTGAGATTTTCTTTGTCATGTATTTCTTTTGAATCTATCTTTTTGGTGACCCGAAACAGAGATGATTCTCTTTGAACATCAAATTCTTCGAGTAAATTGCATGACCTCTCCACCAGCAGTTTTATTGCCGTTCTTGGACGCTGATTATAGGGAAATCTCTTCCCTGGAGGTTTTAATGTGAACTGAAACCGCTTCCTTTTTCTTTTCCCTAGAAAAAAAAAATCAGGGGTCGATTTATACAGTCTTGAAGGGAGTATATATATACATTATTTAAATCAAATATAGTATTTAATTTAATGTGTTAAGAGAAATGAAAAAAATCATATATACATTTTCAAAGAAAAAATATTAAAAACTTAAATTCATTTATCAATTAAATTAATGAATTTATCAATATAATTTTGTCTATTATACATGTAAATTTTTAAATTAATCAAATATACTTATCTTATCAGTCCAAAATAAATAACATTATTAATATATAATTAATGGTGTAATCTTTTTACATAGAAGAAAAAATCGATATTTATAATTTAATAAAAAAAATTACATCCATGATTTATGTGAATGTAACATTAAATTCAATGGTTTGATTTGTTGAAAATATTGCTATAAAATGGGACGTTAAATAATAAATCAAATAAGAAAAAAAATTATAAATTATGTCGTGGTGAATCATTATCTTAGAAGCAAATTCACCCTAATTAGTGTAATCGTTGCATTGGACAATGCCCCTGAGTTTAACATATACAAAATCGTACACATAAAGTTTGGAAATGGACACGGGAGATATTATTCTTGTCCTATAACTTGGAAAGATATTTATAGTTTGAACCCTCCAACATATGACACATAATTACATGAACATGAATCGAGTGGTCGGATGGTTATTTGACCTTTTGCTTAATTTTAGTTTTTTTTAATAAGAATGATAACAAGTAATTTAGGAGAAATTAATCCTCCGCAGATCTGTATGGTTCAATATCCTTTTTGGTATGTATGAGCTATCTCCACTGAAAGCGTATGATAGGTTTTGAGATCGAAAGAATCCTTCCAAACAAGTTTTGTTAATCTATCGGCGACCTTATTACAATTACAAGGAAAATGTTTGAATTTTATGTGCCAATCATGGTTGATTAAATCAGCGATATACGAATTTATCACTGTGGTTTAACCACTGTGGTCAACTTTAATAAAAATTACCAACCCCTGTTGAGACAAGTGACAATGACATTAATATATTTTAATTTTAAATCTTGTGAAATGAAATTGTTGTGATAATAAGCTAGTAATTTTTTATTACGAATTTATTAAGTGAATTTAATAGTTAAAGAGAATATTATTCTTCTTTGAGGTTTTGAGTTTAAATAGTTGTGTGTATATGGTATATGTTATCAATAATTAAGAAAGATTATGAATATATAATACCTTATGATCATCACATACTATTAAAAAATGTTTTAATACCATTAGTAAAAGTTGTATAGTTTTTCCAGAATTTGAGTTTGCACCATAAGTTGATGTAAATTATGTGTAAGTTGTTTTCAAATTTATTTTAATTAAATTTTATCGTGCATAGGAGTGAGTAAAACTCGATTTGATTAAAAAAATTGGTTTTTTTAAATTTCGAGTACGATTCGAGTTAGAATTTAGAAATTGGAAATTTCGAGTTACTCGAGAAAAAAAATTGGCTGACTATTTTGACAGGTTTACGATTTAGTCTTTTATTTCCTTATTCCTTCAATTCATCATTCATTTTAAGTCTTTTTTTACCAAATTTGAACCATATGCTCCTAAACTATCGTAGAATACCTATGTGCTTTCAATTCCTCTTTTTTATAACAATTTTTTTTATTTTTCAATTTAATCCCTCAACTTTTCATGGTTTTTTATTTCTTCAATTCATCCTTCATTTTTAGTCTTTTTTTACCAAATTTGAATAACATGCTCTTATACCACTATAGAATACATATGCAACTTCAATTATTATTATTTTTAATAAATATATAATCTATTTTTTATTTAGTCCCTTAACTTTGCATTTTACTCAATTTGATCTTTTGATTGTAATTGTTTGCAAATTCTTTCTTCCTATCAATTCTTTGACTCTTTTATGTTGTCATCAATACTTTTCCCTCAAAATATCTTATTTAAAATATAATATTGTAAATATATTTTATAATTTTAGATTGTATTTGATATATTAAATAACATTATATTGTTTTAAAGAATACCAAGATATATATATATAGTTAGAGAAAATTAAAAAATTAGAATCAATCCTTACCATAATACTATAAATAATTATAATAAAATTTATATAGAAACTCGAATAACTCAACTCAAATTTCTTAAACTCGACTCGACTTGAAAAAAATTCAAGTTAAGTTCTAGTCACAAAATATAACTCGTCAAATCGAATAACTCGAAATTTTTTGACTCGACTCGATCGAATGCCCACCCATACACAAAAACCCTCTCTATTTTATTCGAAAAAAGAAAAAAATTGGCCTTGGAAATTTGAAAATATGGTGAAGATACATTCAAAAATAGGCTATCTGATTTCTATTGCTTTTTGAGAAAAATGGAAACCAACCATTTACTATTTTTTGAGCGCTTTATAATGCCCTTTCCCAGGTTACAATTGGAAGAAAAAAAGGATTTTTGATTGGAAAAAAAGGATTTTTGATTGGAAAAAAAGATTTCCAGGTTACACACTTAAATACACTGGAACTTATATTCTCTCATATATTATAATGAAAATTATGTCAATTAAATTAGGACTCAATCAACAAAATAAATATATACCTATTGATAAAGCTCAACATGATATATAAATGGGGTACTTATTTAATATTAACATTGAACATAGAGTTTTTATTCAAAATATTAATTCATTATCATATATCTTTAATTAATAATTTAATTAATCATTCATTATAATATATCAATCATCTTAATAGAGCAGGCTTGATTTTATTGTTCCATGTATCTCTGTAGCGTTGTGCATCACCGCACGTTCTTTTGGCTTCCACCACAACCAGCTCTCCCGTTAACCGATAAACTGCAACCGCTATCCCGTAGTTACCGTTTTCTTCTTCTAATTCAACGCCCCATTCTTTCTTTCTCTTCACCCTCAACAGCCGCTCGCCCTTGGCAACCTCTTCCACCATCTCCACCAATTTCTCGGGAGACTCTCTCGATACAAGGTGTTCGCATTCACTCGCCGAGTCACGCGCGTCCTCGAACAAACCAGACAGATCCAAACCCGATGAGAATGATATCAAATCGAATGCATTCAAGCTTGAAACTTGTAGTAAAAACACATCCTTGTCATGCTTCACGTGGAACTTGGGCTCCTCATAACCACCCTTACTGAACCATGGATCCTTGAGGATCTCATGAATCGTGATTCTCGTCTCGGGATTAGTGTCCAGAAGCCGAGACAAGAAGCGTTTGAGACCGCTCGACATCCATTTGGGACAACTGTACTCACCTTTGTAGATCTTTTTGTACATAACCATGAGATTTGGGTCATTGAAAGGTAAGCAACCCGCGTTTAGGACGTAGAGGATGATGCCGCATGACCACACGTCCACCTTAGCTCCATCGTAACCTTTTTTCGTCAATATCTCTGGTGCCACGTAAGCTGGTGTACCACACAAGGTGTGCAACAGCCCGTCGGGTCTGATCTGATCGGTTACGGCGCTGAGACCGAAATCCGACACCTTTAAATTCCCACTCTCGCCGAGGAGTATGTTTTCAGGTTTCAAGTCACGGTGGAAAACCCCGCGGGAGTGGCAGTAACCAACGGCCGAGATGAGCTGCTGGAAATATTTACGGCTGAGATCTTCGCTGAACCTTCCTTTAGAAACCTCAGAGAACAGTTCTCCACCCTTGACGAATTCCATCACGAAATAGATCTTAGTTTTGGTAGCCAATGTTGAAAATTCAACTTAACAGGCAAGTTGATGGCAACCTTTCGGTGGATAAAATTTTTTTTCGGTGCATGTGCATTAATTGACACTAAATTGTTGATTTTTGGACAATGGCTAAATCATAATTTAGTCATTAAATTTTAAGGTTTTTACAAATTAGTCCTTAGGTTTCAACTATAAATACCCTAGCTCATTTAGTTTCAAAATCATCCCAAAGCATTTTAGCTTTCTTCCAATACTAGAGAGAATTTAGAGAGTTTCTTGAGAGTTGTTTTCTCCTTTTTACCGAGAGAGAATTATCATTGTTTTCTCCTTGGTAGATCGAGAGAGGTTGTAATTCATATTTTCTTATAGTGAAATTCTTCTACCGTTACCCGTGGTTTTTATCCTAAATCTTTAGGGGTTTTCCACGTAAATTTTGTGTCTCTTTTATCTTCATTTTTATTTTCTCAAATTATCAGTTGCGATTTTGCTCTATCCAATAGCCGTCTTCCGCAACAATTGGTATCCGAGCTAGATTAGAGTGTGTAATATCTACTTATTGTCTTTGTGGTTGCCACCAAAAGGTGGATCCTCCAACATAAGAAAGTAAGAAGTTATTACCCATTCTTTGAAGGTTCCAGAGAACTATTCACGATAGTGAAATAGTGGGAGCTATCCGTAAAAGAAGCTATGGCAGCGAAATTTGATATTGAAAAGTTTAATGGGAGAAATTTCTCATTGTGAAAATTAAAAATGAAGGCAATCCTGAGGAAAGACGGGTGTCTAGCGGCTATCAGTGAAAGGCCGGTGAATTTTGCAGATGACAATAAATGGATCGAAATGGACGGAAATGCTATGGAAAACTTTCATTTAGCATTAGCAGATGAAGTATTGTCAAGCATCGAGGAGAAGAAGACAGCTAAGGAGATATGGGATCATCTCACCAAATTGTACGAGGCTACATCGCTGCACAATAAAATTTTCCTTAAGAGGAAATTGTACACTCTCCGTATGCCAGAATCTACTTCAGTGACGGAGCACTTAAATACACTGAACACCTTATTTTCTCAACTTACATCCTTAAGCTGTAAAATAGGAGAACAAGAACGTGCTGAACTTCTACTTCAAAGTCTACCGGATTCATACGATCAACTCATCATCAACTTGACAAACAGTAATGTCACCAGTTTAGTCTTCGATGATGTTGCAGCTGCTGTTCTACAAGAAGAAAATCGGCGCAAGAACAAGGAAGACAGACAAGTAAATCTGCAACAAGAAGAAGCATTGACAACGATGACAACGATGAGAGGGAGATCAACAGAACGTGGCCAAAGCAGCAGTCAAAAACATGGTAGATCGAAGTCGAGGAGCAAGAAGAATTTCAAGTGTTACAACCGTGGAAAGAAGGGTCACTTGAAGAAGGATTGTTGGAGTCTAAATAAAAACTCCAATCCACAAGGCAATACCGCAAACACTTCAGATGATGGAGATGCTCTATGCTGTGAAGCGTCAACCACCGTGGAAGGCAGAAAAAGATTTGCAGATATATGGCTCATTGATTCAGGAGCAACATATCACATGACCTCAAGAAGAGAATGATTCCATCATTATGAACCTGTCTCAGGAGGATCTGTGTATAGTTGCAATGATCATGCCTTAGAGATCATTGGCGTGGGAACCATCAAATTGAAGATGTACGATGGAACAATTAAAGTTGTTCGAGATGTGCGGCACGTGAAAGGCCTGAAGAAAAATTTATTATCCTACGGATTGTTGGATAATAATGCAAGCAAGATTGAAACACGGAAAGGAATCATGAAGGCGTTCCATGGAGCGCTTGTGGTACTGAAAGGCGAAAAGATAACATCAAACTTGTACATGCTGAAGGGAGAGACTTTGCTAGAAGCAGAAGCCTCTGTTGCCTCATGTAGTTCAGATTCTACAATGCTATGGCATAAGAAACTTGGACACATGTCAGAACAAGGAATGAAAGTCCTTGTGGAGCAAAAGCTACTTCCAGGCTTAACAAAGGTATCACTTCCTTTGTTGAGCATTGCATAACAAGTAAGCAGCACCAGTTGAAATTCAACACATCAAATTCTAGAGGCAAAAGTGTTCTAGAATTGGTTCACTCTGACGTATGGCAAGCACCAGTAACGTCCCTAGGTGGAGCAAAATACTTTGTCTCATTTATTGATGACTACTCCAGGAGATGTTGGGTGTACCCTATTAAGAAGAAGTCAGATGTGTTTTCAACTTTCAAAAACTTCAAAGCACGGGTGGAACTTGATTCTGGAAATAAGATCAAGTGTTTCAGAACAGATAATGGAGGAGAATATACAAGAGAAGAATTTGATGACTTTTGCAGGAAAGAAGGCATCAAAAGACAGTTCACAGTGGCGAACACTCCTCAACAAAATGGAGTGGCAGAGCGGATGAACATAACCTTGTTAGAAAGAACAAGAGCAATGTTGAGGGATGCAAACCTAGAAAAATCATTCTGGGCAGAAACAGTCAATACCGCCTATTATTTGGTGAATCGAGCTCCATTAACTGTAATAGAGCTGAAGACACCAATGGAGATGTGGACTGGTAAACTAGTTTATTATTCAAACCTCCATGTATTTGGAAGTATTGTGTACGTGATGTACAACACCCAAGAAATTTCAAAGCTGGATCCAAAATCCAGGAAATGCAAATTCTTGGGGTATGCTGATGGAGTAAAGGGGTATCGCTTGTGGGATCCCACTGCCCGCAAAGTGATCATTAGCAGGGATGTTATCTTTGTAGAAGATAAGCTACAAAGAAAAGAAGACGATGATAACGCTGAAAAGCCAGAGACTACTCAGATACATGTGGAAAAAGAGTTTGAAGAAGGAGATTCTTCTAAAGCAGAACCAGCACATGATGAACAAGAACCAGAGAGTTCTGAAGCTCCAACAACTAGTCAATCAGATCGTGTGAGAAGACGTCCCAATTGGCACTCGGATTATGTTATAGAAGGTAATATTGCATACTGCCTTTTAACAGAGGACGGTGAGCCATCAACATACCAGGAGGCAATAAACAGCTCAGATGCTTCACTGTGGATGATGGTGATGCAAGAAGAAATCGAAGCCCTTCATAAAAATAATACATGAGACCTTGTGCCACTACCACAAGGAAGGAAGCCAATTGGTAACAAATAGGTCTTCAAAATCAAGCGAAATGGTGACGATCAAGTTGAGAGGTATCGTGCAAGACTGGTGGTCAAAGGATATGCTCAAAAGGAAGGTATTGATTTCAATGAAATATTTTCTCCTGTGGTTCGACTAACAACAGTTCGAGTAGTTTCGTCTCCTTTGGCTTTCACAAAAGAATTACTTGAAGAAAATCTTGTCACGATTCAACATGGAAGATTGTAAGCCAATTTCTACCCCTCTTCCTATTAACTTCAAATTATCCTCCAGTATGAGTCCTAGCAGTGAAGAAGAGAGGATGGAGATGTCTCGAGTACCGTATGCATCAGCAGTGGGAAGTTTAATGTTCGCTATGATATGCACAAGACCAGACATTGCACAAGCAGTGGGAGTGGTTAGTCGGTACATGGCGAATCCAGGCAAAGAGCATTGGAATATTGTAAAGAGGATCCTAAGATACATCAAAGGGACCTCAAATGTTGCATTATGTTACGGGAGATCAAACTTACTTATCAATGGGTATGTTGATTCTGACTATGCAGAGGATTTGGATAAAAGCAAATCTACTACAGGATATGTGTTCAAAGTTGCTGGTGGAGCTGTAAGCTGGGTTTCAAAATTGCAGTCAGTTGTGGCTACATCCACAACAGAGACAGAATATGTAGCAGCTACACAAGCCAGTAAAGAAGCAATTTGGTTAAAGATGTTATTGGAGGAGCTTGGGCACAATCAAGAGAATGTTTCTCTTTTTTGTGACAGTCAAAGCGCCTTGCATCTAGCAAGGAATCCATCATTTCATTCAAGGACAAAGCATATACGAGTTCAATACCATTTCATTCGTGAAAAGGTGGAAGAAGGAACTGTAGATATGCAGAAGATCCATACCAAAGATAACATAGCAGATTTCATGACGAAGGCAATCAATTCTGATAAATTTACTTGGTGTCGATCCTTTTGTGGCCTGTCAGAAATGTAAGCAACATGAAGGTACAAGGTAGAAAGAATGGTGTGAAGATATGATTGTTCCAATTAAATCTTCAAGTGGGAGATTGTTGAAAATTCAACTTAACATGCAAGTTGATGGCAACCTTTCGGTGGACAAAAAAATCTTTCGGTGCATGTGCATTAATTGGCACCAAATTGTTGATTTTTGGACAATGGCTAAATCATAATTTAGTCATTAAACTTTAGGGTATTTACAAATTAGTCCTTAGGTTTCAACTATAAATACCATAGCTCATTTAGCTTCAAAATCATCCCAAAGCATTCTAGCTTTCTTCCAATACTAGAGAGAATTTAGAGAGTTTCTTGAGAGTTGTTTTATCCTTTTTACCGAGAGAGAATTATCATTGTTTTCTCCTTGGTAGATCGAGAGAGGTTGTAATTTCTATTTTCTCATAATGAAATTCTTCTACAGTTGCCCGTGATTTTTACCCTAAATCTTTAGGGGTTTTCCACGTAAATCTTAGTTTTGGTAGCCAAAACCTCGAACAACTTGACGATGTAAGGATGGTTCAAGCAGCTCATGATGGAGATCTCGCGCTTGACGTTGGACATCAAGCTGATATTGGAAAGTTTCCTTTTGTGGATGACCTTAATGGCGACGCTCTGTCCAGTGCGTACGTTACGGGCATGATGAACCTTGGCGAAGGCGCCACAACCCAGGAGCCTGCCGAGCTCGTATTTATCGAACAGGGCGTTTTCTGGAACATGTTCGAACTCGGGCATAGGTGGTGAAAGCCAGAGACCAAAGCAGATGGGCGAATTTCGTCAGCAAATAAACAAACAGACAGACTATCGGAGATTTTAGTTGAAGATTTGTATGCTAAACAATAATGCTTTGTCTAATAGGAGAAGAATTGTAAAGGGCAGGGTAATAATTTCTGTTGTGTATGCAATTTGCATGCAAAGATTTTAGTTTTTAAAGGTCGAGGAAGAGAGCGCGTGTCTTTGAGTGTGGAAGTTTCGGGAGATTGGGTTGGCTGAACGCATTTATTACTTCGACAGATAGACAGTCTACACAGGATTTGATTAGGATGGTCTCTTCAATAGTTTATTTAATAAATAGGTCTAATTAAATATATTTAATTATATGTATAATTAAAATATATGCTCGAGATTTTATATTTATATGTTATATTAAAAATAATATTCAACATCTTCGACAGTGACCTTTACGTGCACAATAAATATATAATTGAAATTATATATATGTGTTTGTATGTGATATTGAAAATAATCCCCTAGTGGAGTTAAAATCGATACGTGGAGAGCTTTTTAAGCCTTTTATGTTTATTTTATAATTTTAAATTTTAGTTTTAGTGTTATTTAGATGAAATATTTATAAAATACTATTATATATCTAGTTCGAATAATTGTTAAGATAGATGTTTAATCTAATTTTTTTTTACTTTTTTAAATAAAATATTATTCAAACCTAAGCCAATGACAAAAAAACAAAATATTATTTTTTAATTATTCTTTTAGTTTTTATATATTTTTATTTAATTCTGAAAAACAGACCATCGAATTCATACACTTATTTTTGTAAGATACTTTAACTTTAATATATACGATTAAATATTTTAAAAATAAGATACATAAAGATTAATCTTATTTGTTACATGTGCATATAATCGTTAGAAATAATATATGTTGACATCATATTATTATTTGAATGATCGAATCTTCTCTTGATAACTTGAAGGGGAAGCCATCTATTATTATTTGACAGCCATTAGTCTGTTTAATTAGGTCATTAATTTTCATTTAGTAATAATGACGACGGGTCATGCTAACACGTGGCAATAGATTATTGGGATTAAGAGTTGACAACTACCGACAAGCAGGCTGTTGAATTTTGCCATGAGTCGAAGAGTTTCGGTACAAAGGCTAATCTGATTGTTTTCTCTTAAAAATATAATACAAGCTTCAGTGATTCTCATTTCTCTGTTACAGTATGCCAACATGCATTGAAATTAATATACACAACCACAGGAGTGAGTAGTAATATTGAGCCTTTGCTACTGGAAATTCTAATTTGTTTTGAAATTAGATTAGTGACCAAATACCAATTTCCTTTTTCTTTAGCTCGGACGCAAATGTAAAAAGTGAAAATTATATACTAAAAACATATTACATTTATTTAAAATTTTAAGATAAATTTATAAAACAAAAAATTTTAAATTTTAAATATAAACAGTAAAATATATACAAAGATTGTGAAACATAGAAGTACCTAAAATTTCTTATTATGTGGGTTGCAGGTGACAACTGACAGGTGAGGATATTTCCAGGAAGCTGCAGGCTACAACTTAGGGCAGGATCCCATTTGAATAATGAATCATCGACCCTTTCAGCTTGAGGTTGAAACTGCCTATAAGATTTCCTACTTTGGTTTCTCCAAAAATGGGTGGCCATGTTGAGCTGACTGATGCCTAACGCATGAATTCAAAGAAACCCCTACATCGGCTGCTGGTCCCAGCTTTCTCTTTTGTTTGAAGACTTTTAAAAGGAAAACTGAAGATACTAATTTTTTATCCATATTATTATTATTATTATTATTATTATTATTATTATTATCATTATTATTATTATTATTAAATATATATTAAATAAATATATATAAATAAATAATTACAGACCAATTACAACTGGACCGGCCCAGTTACAAACAAACCAGAACCGGTCCAAATCAAACCAGAAACCCTAAACATTTGGGGTTCCAGTTAGGGTTTCCTAACCCTAATCTAGTCGGCCGCCTCATCACAGCCGTTGGATCTGAGAGATCCAACGGTCCAGAGTGCCCCAGATGGAAACCCTAGGGTCTGATACCCTAGGGACACGCGGCCGCCGCTGCTATCTCACCGCCTCCGCCGCTGCCACGTCCCAACCGAAGACTCCAGAAGATAGAATACCAGCCGTCCACGCCATGGCTACGGGGTGAGTCACCACTGGTAGTCCGGTGACTCACCGAGACCCCATCTTCGGACCGGTCCGACGGCTACAACGGTGGTGGCTATAAAAGCCACCACCCGAACCTGAAAAAAAGAGAAGACAAAAAAAAGACAGGGACGAAAAAAAAGAGAGAACACAGAGAGACGAAAAAAAAAATAGAGAAAAAAATATATACTAAAATATACCAATGATCTCAGTCAACATCAACGCAGCAAGGAAAAAAAGAGAGAAGAGAGGAAAGAAGCTTACCCTATCATCGGAGAACCCCAACCGTCACCGGATACAACAAAAACCGAATGTATATTTGTAGATCTGCTCCGATTGGGAGCTTTTTAAGGAAAAAGAACACCGGAAACGGTTTTAGACCGTCCTGATCTATATTCTGGTAGATTTTTGTAATTTTCGGCCACCATTAACGGTGGCCGGCAGCGGTGGTCGGAGCCGGTAGCGGTGGCTGACCGGGAAGGCTTCTCTCAGTTTAGAGAGAAGCCAGAGAATTCTTCTCTCTGTTTGAGAGAAAGAAAAAAAAAGAAGAAATGAGATAGCTGGCCCTTCGGGCCAGCCGGTTTGGACCATATATAGGCCTTCCCGAACGACGTCGTTTCGGGAAGGACTATGCGCGTAATTAGAGAATAGTTAAACCCCATCCGCAGTCCTCCCAACTTGTAAATTTTACATTTTAGTCACTAAATTGAATTTATAATAATTTTAATTTAATCTCGAAATTTTATTTTTATTCATTTTAGTCTTTATTATTAAAATAATATATTTAGGATAAATAACAGATTTAACCCCTTAATTTTAATAAATAATATTTTAATCATTAATTTATATTTTTAATTTATTTTATTCTAATATCCGAATTTTAGATAATTTTATTTTAGTCACTAAATAAATAAAATAAAGAAATAACATATTTAATCCCTATAATTTTGATTAATTATGAATTAGATTTTTTTTAATTTATTCAGTTATTTTATATGCTTTCATTTATTTTATTGTTTTTAAATATATTGTTTTAGTAGTATTTTTATTTTTATTATTTTGTTAAATATTCTTATGTATTCATAAATGTATATATAATAAATAGTAATTTTTTTTTATATTTATTTTTAATATCGAAGAAAAGGACAGTCTTAATATAACTGGATGTCCTATTCTGATATTTTAAAAATAAAAAGTAAACAATATTATTTAAATTAATATTTATCAATATCAAAGAAAAGAGCTGTCTTAAGGCACCTAGAAGTTCTTTTCTGATATTTTTAAATAAATAAATATTTTTTTATAATTTTGAAATAATAGAATTATAAATTAAATATATGTTTGAATTTTTTTAATAATAGAGACAATTGATAATTAAAAAGTACCAATTTTGGGCGTTGTAGGGGTGCTAATCCTTCCCTAAACGTAACCGATCACGAATCCCTTTTTATTATTAAAAAGAACGAATTTTTGGTTATAAACGTAGATCAGTTCATTTTTTAATTGATGTTTTCTTAAAAACTCTTTTAAAAAATAATTTTTAGGTATTCGACCTACCTGACCCAAAAGGCCGATGGCGACTCCCAAATTATTTTCAAAATCATTTATTCATATCATTTTTCCCGCCAAATAAATTTTTCGTGCCCGGACGAAAATCGGTTACGACAGCTTGGCGACTCCACTGGGGACTGGTCAAACTTTTAAAAATCAATTATAAATTGTCTCTATTAATTAAAAATTAAAAGTTCATATATTTAATTTTTAATTCTTTCTTTTTAAAATTTTTATATATATTTATTATTTTCATAATATTTATATGTTTTATTTTATTTGCAAGTATTTTATTTCATTATTTATTTTTCTGTCAAAGGTTTGAACATTTCTCCTCACACACAACACTTGCATTGCATAACATAAGGCTCTATAATTGAGTTGTCCCTTTTAAGTGGGAGTGAAAGCGACGTCTTCGTGAGAATTTATTCTCCGTGTCAGACCTAGCAAGTAACTTTCGGGGTTCATATGCTCTATGTCTTCGTGAGAATTTATTCTCCGTGTCAGGCATAGAGAAATGTATCCCCTCGAATTGAACTCGATCCATTTTAGTCTGTGATGAACTAGGATTGAGGGTTAGCAACCCAAGGGGGCACTAACAAGGACAATTCGGGTACCTTTATTCTTAGATCTGAAACCCTGCATATAAAAAACCTTAGAAACTCTTCCAATCAGAAGTCATGCCGAAATTTTGTCAAAAATAAGTGTACACACAGGAGAAATGAATTCTGATTTTCCTGTTAATTTATTTATTGATTTAATTACATGTTTATTTAAATTATTTAAATTCAGAAAAGCATGTTTAAATAAAGAATATTTATGTAAATGTTATTATTAAATTTCTTTAAACTAACTTATTTTCTTTTTGTGTGTTCTTTATTTTTCTGTTTGCATTGCATCATACAGGATAAAAGACATTGATCCTTGTGTTAATTGTCTCATTGGAAAGCCTTCATCTATGGATAAAAAGTGTTCAAGTCAAGTAATTCTAAACTCAGAAGTAAGACAGTGGGCTGAGGATTTACAAAGACAAGAAGGAGACAGTCTGCAGGATGATTATGTATCTGATTTGGCCAGTTATGCTCCAGTTTCACTAAAAAGAAATGATATACAAGATTTGCGAAGCATTTGGGAAAGTTGGGATTCAAACAAAAAATTGCAGTTTTATCAGATTTACGGAGACATCCCATATTTGCTCTATGTCAAAGTTGATGATGAATTACTCAGAGCCCTAATTCAATTCTGGAATCCAGGGTACAATTGCTTCACTCTCAATAAAGAGGATTTGGTCCCTACTATTGAAGAATACACAACATTGCTACATATTGAAGGGGTGTTGGAGAATCGAATCTATTCAAAGTCAATTAAAACTCAACCCTTTCGAGTTAAATTAGCAAAGATTGCCAGGGTACGAGAAGAATGGGTAGCATCCCGTACAAAACAAAAAGGAGAAAGCGAAGGCATTGCTTGGACCAACATTAAAGAACTTATTCAGAGCCATCCAGATATTAAAGTACGATTCGATT